TTTTGCCAGGTGTCGCGCCACATATACATATTATTGTGACACATATGATTCTAGGTAAGCAAATTTTTGATAGATTTTTTAATATAAATATGTTATATAGAGTTTTATTGTCGATATACTTCTAATAACCCATATATACAAAATTAATTATAACTTTTAATAGATATCTTATAACTCATTTTTATTTCCATCATAAAATTCATTTTAAAAAGGTTTTTAAAATAAGATCCATTTATAATATATTTAAATTATTAATAAAAAAATATAGAATTAGAAAAAAAAATAACTTTTAACCAGTAAAAATAATGGTAAAAATACTTCTAGTTTAGTATAAATAATTTATATTCAATAAAAAGAATTTCAAGTTGAAATAACATATATATCAATTTACAAAAATTAAACTATTATATAAATAAATGACATGACATCGTATATATGTCTAAATATCCTGCATAATTAAAAGGGTTTATATGACCATCATTCAAGCCAAAAAGCCTATCCTAAATTTTATTAACAATCTGGACATCGCCCATGCACAAATTTAGTAACAAATATATATAAAGCACCAAGTGTTGTGCCATGTAGGCAACAATTAAATTATTAGTATGACGTGTAGGATTTATTTAAATATAAATTTTTTTTATAGAATATGAAAAAAAGTTAGATAGATTTAGATAAATTTTATAGGATAAAAAAAGTTGGAAGATATAGATAGAGTTTATAGGATAAAAAATTAAATTACTTTGCTTTTTTTTAAAAAAAATTTATATATACTTTTTAAAAATAAACATTTTCACCAATATTATTATTAGTCATTACATGAATACTACACAATTTAAATCGTCACAATGTCACATCAATTCCTAACTAATTTTGTATCAATGATATATTTTAAAAATAGGTAAAAAGTTTATGTTAAAATTCAATAAACGACCCGAGCATCACACGAGGCACCAAACTAGTTCCAATATAAACTCGAACCAAATGGCCCAAACAAATTAGAGGTGTCAAACCAACCATACCCAAACAAATCATATGTTTTGAATTATAATCGACCTAATTTTAATTGAGAAATTCAAGACCCAAATCCCATATGATAGGCGTGTCGCGTACTCAACAAAAATAAACCTAACTAAACCACTACTATGTGGACAGGCTAGTAAGGGTCGGATCCCAAGAGATTATGGTTTAACTAGTTATATAGACTCAAATAACTACTAAGCAAGTAACCAAATTTAATAATTAGGAATTAATAACTAAATATCAATGAAGGACGATTAAACTAAATATAATATGATAAATCGATTGTTAAAGACATCCAAGATCAAGCATTACCACGAATACATTCAACACAGTAATAATTCTACCCCCAATATATAAATCAATCAACAAGAGGAAAAGTAATCCCTAGATAATACCAAAGGTCTCTCTCAAGTTATCAATGGCTTCTATGATGACAATCATACCCATTCGATCTCATGAAATCATGTAAATTAGAGACATTAAGCACATTACTCTAACATCCTAATCATTCATTCAACTATTTTCATGATGAACTTTAAACCCTTAATTAATCATTCAATTCCATTAAAACCCAACTCTCGTTGCGATTAAAACAATGGAATAACAATACTAATTATCTCTAATATAGTATTGGCATAAGCACAATCAATTAAGCATGTCAATTGAGATTATTATTGGATTATTTAAAGATTTAATTCATGCATCAATCATATTTGGGCTCCGCAAGATCCCGGATTACAAGATTACTCACACATATTAATGGAAGCAAAAACAATAGGAAAAATTGCTCGGAAAAATCCGACCTTTGCCTCATCCGCCCAAAATAATCCCACCTTTCGATTATTTTTTAATAATCCGACCTTTATAACTCTTCCGCTTTAAATGGTCCCAACCGGTCATCTAACTTGTTATTACAAGTTACTAGACACTTGTCAACCTATGATTGGTCAAAAATTAAAAAACAATTTAAACATAAAATTAAATTAAATTAAAAATCAAAATTTAAAAAAAAAATAAAAAATCCCAAACCCATATTCCGGCAGCCCCAACCACCAGTTCCCTACCCATTTCCGGCCACCATACCCCTTTCCCTCCTCGAATCTGACCACCAATCTCTTCCCCTTCCCGATTCCGACCACTCCCTCCCTATTTTCGGCCGACCCAACCCCAACACTAGCCCGCAAAACCACCTAAAATCAGCGCTTCTTCTTCTCCTTCGCAAACGCACCACCCACAAACCCGCAACATCACAACCACTCTTCCCGCAGCAAACACCAACGGACCCACCATCTTAATCAACCTCTTCCCAACACAACTGCACCATTAACTGCCGCCAGACACCACAAATAGAGCAACCGCTTCGACAGTTCGACGCCCACAAATCAGCCCCAAAATCGCAAAATTAAACCCATCACAACAGTCATTCCTAGGGAAGATCGAGGGACAATTTCGGTGGGGTGGACTGGGTAGAGGAGGTTGTTTCGGTGGGTGGACTGGGTAGAGGAGGTCGTTTTAGTGGTGGGTTTGCTGGAGTGAGGGTGGCAGTTGGTTTTTTTTTTTTTTTTTTAAATAAATTTTTTTTGACTAATTGAGTGGTAACACGTGTGCAAACAATCCCAAATTACAAATGGTAACTTGTTTAGCCGGTTTCAGGTCACTTGGGACAATTAGGAGCGGATATGGTATAAAGGTCGGATTATTAAAAAATAATCGAAAGGTGGGATTATTTTGGGCGAATGAGGTAAAGGTGGGATTATTCCGAGCAATTTTTCCAAAACAATATTTAATGAAGAAAACATGATTAATAGACAAATATAAGTGAAAGAAGAAAAAAAGATGAATACCAATTACTTGAATGAAGGAAAGTACCAATTGTTGATGAACAAAGATCTGAAAGTGCAAATTAACTAGATCTAGAGAGAATATTAGGGTTCTCATAAAAGTTTTAGGCTGGAAAATAATAACTAAGGCCCTGTTCTCTTCACCTAAAAAAATAATATTAAGTAAAAATAATTTCAATTCAGTAAAAATAAGTGCAGTTAAGTTAAATTAATTTCAGTTCAGTAAAAATAATTTCAGTTTTGTAAAATTCAGTTTTCTTAATGAAGAATTATAATAGAAAATCAGTAAAAATAATTTCAATTCAGCAAAAGTAATTTCAATTCAGTGAAATTAATTTAAGTTCAGTAAAAATAATTTAAGTTCAGCAAATATAATGTGTTTTAGTAAAAATAATTCCAGTTCAACAAAAATAAGGTGAAGAAAACGGGGCCTAAGTTTCTTCAGTCGAGGTTTACAAAGGGTATTTATATCCCTTAAAATAAGAAACCCGAAAAAGAGTGAAAATACGCTTCGCGAAATTCTACCCGGGCAGCTAGGGCATCTAAGCACAATCGGGTGTGAGAAGCAACAAGTATAATTTCTGACTTTCGAAGCTTAATTATAATGTTGATAACCTCACAGTACTTGCCCTGCCAAGGTGATGGGGGTATGATACATCTATTTACTACTTTGCCCTTTTTCCTCCACCTTCCTTTGCCCTAGCTGCTGGCAGTGTTGCCCTGCTAGGGCGAACATGGAAAATCACTCCTTTATCATAATGAACTCTCGTGACCATCAAAATTAGTCTCGTTCATCCTGAAATACATCAATAAAACCGAAATTACCTATAAAAGCATAATATGATCACAACCGAACCAAATCAAGCTAAAATAAGCTATGAACAACTAATCTAGACTCAAAACTACCTAAATGGACTCTAAATACACGCACAATATACGACTTATCACCATATGTAACCAATCTAAACTCAATTAGATCCAAATTAGATCCGATCCAATATAACATGCAACAATTTAACTTGATGCCATTTTGACCCACATTGACTCAACTCGATGCCATTTTGACCCACATTGACTCAAATCAACACCAGTTTGACCTAACTTGAACTCAACATGAAACAAATTTATTTGAAATAAATGTGAACCGACTAAAAGTTGACATGACCCTAACGCGACCCTGACTCAATATATGTTTCCCCCGAGATTGACCCAACCCAAACCAAGGTTGGTTAAAAAGGACCTTGATACCCATACAAACTATTTTTCTTTGTTTTCATTATATTTTTTATCTCAACTTTATTACTTTTTACTCTCTAATAAATTATCAATGCGATATCTTTACTTACATCTTATTCAAAACCATCTTACATCATATTATAATCAATTCAAAAATATTTAATTACAAATAATAATGTATGCAGTTTAGCTTTACACTTGACCGAACACAAAAAAGGTATCAAATTGGCATTCAACTCAATCCAAAACACTCCTTACCTAATACGCCCTCCGTCCCCAAAAGAATGGCCATTTTAGGTTGATTTCGCGGGTATTAATAAAGTTAAATAAAAGAATTAACAGTATATTGAAAAGGTAAATTTACATGGGGTTTACAAAAAAGTAAAAGAGAGATAGTAATAAAAGTATATGGAAAAACAAATTTTATATGAGGAGGCTAATTTTACACAAATATTGTTGCAAATTAATGGATAGTTTAATGCTAATGGATTATTTTTTTTGGGACTAAAATTAGGCCAAATGAGTTGTTTTTTCGGAGACAGAAGGGATTACTTTATTTTAGTTAGAAAGTGAGAAATTACGAGGAGATCAAATTGCTGGAATGCATAAATGAAACACGTCCAATACGCCCATGGAATTATACCAGAGCCAGCTGCCATGCATGCAATGCATATATTTCGCTATCAACTTTTAACCAAATATCATTTTACTTCCTTAAACTTTAGAAAACACTTCCATTATTGTACACTTTTATGCTAGAATCCACGTTTTATCGACTCACTCACTAATGTCTGAGTACTATATACTATGCATCTTATTTGACTTTCAACAACCAACCCCACGCCACTATTTTAACAACTCAGCTTCCCTGCAATACTCTCCTATATATACATACTCTCCTTTACCACATCACTTTGCATTATCATTTATTAGTGATTTTGATTACACTAAAAATGGAAAGTTACCACAAATATATAAGTGTTACATTCTTTTTCTTGTCTTTAATTCTTCCTCTTACTTTAGCCCTTCAAGTTGGGTTTTATAGTAAAACTTGTCCAAACGCCGAAACTATCGTTCAGCAGGTGGTGCAACAGCGGTTTGCGGCGGATAAGTCTATTACCCCGGCTTTGCTTCGTATGCATTTTCATGATTGTTTTGTGAGGGTGAGAAATTTATTTCTTCTTAGCATATGTTTTGGAAAAATTGGTTTTAATAATCTCAACTTTAATCAATTTTGTTTAAAAAATCTCTAACTTTTGATAATTTTGGAATAATCCCAACTTATATAGGTATCTTCCTAAAATCCAAAGTGTTATTTTTATTGTTTTTGTTGATCCACAAATGTTTATATGTGGCTTGCCACACCGTGTAACCAACCATTACGGAGTTATTTTGTTAGTGTTATAGGGGTTATTCTCTCGGTCAAAACTCGTTCAAAAATTACTCATTTTAATTTATGACTTTTATTGTGTGTTTGGATTGATTAATATGGAGGGAAAACGAAGGAAGAAAATGATGGTGATCATCCCTTATTAGTTGGATGTTACATGGATTTAAAAGAATCAATGCCCTCTATCGCTTTTTTAATAGATTAAATCCTTTTAATGTTTGAAAATATTTATTTGAAAGATTAATTCAAGTTTAATTAAATCTTTTCTTTCATCACCTTGTTCTTTTTCCTTCCTTTATCCTTCATTCCCTCCTTTTCCTTCCATAATAAATATAAACACTAATTATTTTCTTCTTAAAAATGAGCTTTTCATACCAATTCAGTCTTGAATAATGTTTTTTTTACATAAATAAATGCGACCTTGAATTCAAAAGGTTTAAACAGTTTATACACAAATTAAGACAATTGAAGATATTTTTTACAACGGTCGTTTGAAATATGACTAAATTATTATTTTAATGATAAGCAACATGAGCGATCCATTTTTTCACGCTATAAATTGGACACAATTAGTATTCTAATTTCTACAATGCAAATATATTTTTTGAAAATTTTAATCCAACATAAATTAATATTTTTTCGAGAAACTATAAAATAAGAGTAAAAATTACATAAATAAAACTAAAAATTTGATAAATTAAAAAAAATGTTGATAATAATATTTTGTAGCAAAAATAGAGTAATATAATTAATTATTTGGATAAAATAATTTAATTATGAACTATATAATCATTAAAATATTATGATAGTCATATTTCACACGACCACTATAGAATTTTCAGAGTATAATGGGATTGTAAATAGGTGTGCATGTGTGATAGAAAATGTTTGATTAAAATAAGAAAAGTATACAAAAATGCATAGAGATATAATGTGAGGTAAGATAGTAATGGGATTTATCGAAAAAGAAATAAAGTGAGACTATTAAGGGCTTTAAAAAAAGAACAAAAATGAAAATATTAAATAATTTTAAGAATAAATTTAATTGTATAACAATTATAATTTGTTATATACACCCGAGTATACGATACACATGGGTCTACGGTATGTTCGGGGTTATTTGCTCATTTACTAAATGACTTGCTTATTTAATTGAGTAAAAAGTAATGAGCAAATAACCCCGAGGTGTACGATACACCCAAGCTTTCACGAACTACTTATTGGTATAATCATAACTATATTTCCTTCTCCTCTAAATCATTTGTGATGTTTCTAATGACAATATAAATATTGTAGAACATGGTATAACCTACCATAGATATTAGCACGCAAAATTTTGATTTGGTTGTTGCATTTTATACGATGGCTTTTGTATTTCTCTTTAAAATATTGGAAAATTTGTCAAAAATAACCTTTTAAAGTGTCCACTTTATTTAAAACCTTTTAAATTTTTTTTTTTTGCAATTTAAGACCACATTATAAATTTTTTTTATTAAAAACAACCAAATGTTACTTTCCGGCGTTGACTCAATTTTTGCCGACGTTGACCACGAGTGTGCGAGTCACGTGACCTCCTACATTGCTTAATACACCCCTTTTTCCTCCAATTAACTCCTATTAAAACCTCTGCTTCTCTTTCATCCCTCTTTTAGTACGAGTGAATTGGAGTGAAAATTGGTGTATTAAGCAATATACGAGTTCATGTGCGTTGCACACTAGTGGTTAATATCGGGACAAATAGAGTCAAACGCCGAAAAATAGCATTTGGTTGTCTTTGATAAAAAAAATTTATAATGTGGTCTGAAATTGCAAAAAAAAAAATTTAAAAGTTGTTTTAAATAAAGTGGACACTTTAACAGGTTGTTTTTGACAAATTTTCCTAAAATATTTGGGTTAGTTACTCCATACCTATTTTACTATTTAGGCTAGCAAGCTAGCTCACAGTTTTGTCCACTTGTACACCTCAATACAATTATGTGATTAATTAAAACATTTAGTGATATATTCTCATTATATGATACATTTCCTTAACCATGTTAGTCATTTTACAGGGTTGTGATGCCTCTATATTGATAGACTCCACTTCTACCAACCAAGCTGAAAAAGCAGCAGGCCCAAACGGGTCGGTTCGCGAATTTGCACTAATCGATCAAATCAAGTCCAAACTCGAACAATCATGTCCAAAAACCGTCTCTTGTGCAGATATCATAACACTAGCAACCCGAGACTCGGTTGTCCTAGCAGGGGGTCCAAAGTACAATGTCCCAACGGGTAGACGTGACGGGCTCATCTCACGTTCGAGTGAAGTGAACGTACCCGGCCCATCTTTCACCGTCTCCCAAGCCCAAAAATCCTTTAGTGACAAAGGATTAACCCTTAATGACATGGTAGTCTTATTAGGTGCACATACTGTTGGAATCGCACATTGTAGTCTTTTTCAAGATAGGTTATCCAACTTCCAGGGAACGGGATCTCCTGATCCTACTATGAATAAAGCTTTAGTTACAAAGCTTACGGGTGTTTGTGGATCAAACCCGAACGTAGATCCTACTGCTTTTCTTGATCAAAAGACGCCTTTTGTGTTTGATAACCAATACTACAACCAGATTAAAAGTAACATGGGGGTGTTACAAATTGACCAAGAGCTAGCATTGGACTCGTTAAGTTCTACGTTGGTTACTAATATGGCAGCAAATAATGTTGGGTTTGGACAAAGTTTTGCAAAAGCCATGGTTAAAATGGGGAGCATTCAAGTTCTTCAAGGAACTTCTGGAGAAATTAGACAAAATTGTAGGGTCCTTAACAAGAGCTAAATAGCCGCCATATTTATATTTGTATAAAAAATAAATGTATTTTTATATTTTTAAATTGTATAATTATTGAAATGTTGTGGCATATGTGCTCCATAAGATGTTAAGTATCATGTGAAAAAAGCTAGATACATACATCAATACATTAAAGAATTAAGTGTAATATATGGATTGCAATAATAAAATGGTTGATTTATTTTAGTTTTTCCAAGAACATTATTAGTATATAAATGTGCTTCTATCATATATGAACTTCAAAATTATTCTTGGAGTTGAAAAAATAGTCAATGATTATACTTAGTGTTAATGTAAACCAATTGATTGTTGGTATAGCTAGGAGTGATTGAGACTGTACTTGATAGAAAGGACCAGTGTTTGATCCTCAGCAACAATAATTGAGAGGGGACTGGAATCTAAGTACCTAACCACCCAAAATTGATCCCCGAAATCAGATTAGCTTAAAAGATGATCCAGGTGAAACACCAAAAGAAACTTATTGTTAATATAAAGCAAATTGTTGCGCAAAATGCGACAATTAAATAAGGCAAAAACGTTTGAATGTGCATTATTTTATCAGACTACATTGTTTCTTTAAAATCTTTCAACATTTTAATTGAGACGGTAATAAAGAAACAAATAGAGTAATAAGTTGATCACAAGTCTTCAATTGAAACAAATTATTTAAATTTACCATATTACACTTGAAGGTGGTGAATAAAGATGGGCCTCTCACATTTTTAATAAGATGGCCTTACATTTGTTTAATAATTTATTCTCCTACAATTTTCCCTAATTTCGCCGGCATTTCCTTGTTGAATGTTTCCCATTTTTACAATGGCTTGTACAAAGCTTTGTCTAAAATTATTGTTTTTTTTTTGATAAGCAACAGAACTGATTAGATTAAAACACCAAAGTTAATGGCCGTAGCCAACTTACAAAAGCAACACACCATATCTACGGTGGTTGATACTGAGGGATAGCACCCTCCCCTAAGTTAAGTTGTTCAGAATTAACAAGTCTTGCTCCAAAATGGACATTTGAGCTGCTACAGATCATAGTATCAGCCACATCTGGCCTTAGAATAATTACAAAATGTCCCAAAATACTTCTTTGATTACACAAACTAATAGTAGTTCGCTGTAGACCCAACATGGCTTGTCTGGCCACCAAATCTGCTTCCCCTACTGCTTGTCTAGTTGTCTTGAGCAGCTTTACCCTTCCTCCTGTTCCCATCAGGTCCCTGCACAAAGCATAATAGTTTTCCATTTCATCAGCACCCATAACAGACTTGAGAATTCCCTGGATAGCTCTAAGGAAATCAGAGAATATGACTGTAGAATCCCAAGCTTCCCAAATGGACCATGCTGCAGCAGCAATGATGGCCAAAGTCTCAGCCATCACAGCTGATGTAGCAGTGCAATGAGCAGCAATACCCTTGACCCATCTGCCCTGTCTATCTCTGCATATGCAAGCAATGGTGGCATCAAAAGAATTTGGCAGAAAAGAAGCATCCACATAAATGTTATGATCTTGCAGACTTTTCTAAGATAACAGGTTGCCATGGATAGCCTTAGTTAGGGGAGGTGAACCCATGAGAATGAGTTCACTGCTTAAGTGTTTGACAGAAGTCACCCATTTATCAGGAGGAGTTGATTTCTTATTGAATACCCAGTCATTCCTTCTTAGCCAAAGTCTCCATGTAAGGAGAGCAAAGCACTCATTCCAGGGGAGATTGAAGAGAGGGTGGTTTGAAGTACTTTAAGGTTTTCCTCCCACCACTCAGCTGAAGTAAGGTGTAGACCAAGGCTTGGAGGGTTGATAATGTTCCAGATCTCCCTAGCTCTATTACAGTCTCTAAAGATATGCAAGCAAGTTTCATTAATAAAGGGACAGAAAGGACAGAAGCCTGAGGGTATTATGTGTCTATAGTTGAGATAGGCAGCAGTGGGCAGCCTATCCCAAAGACATAACCACAGGAAAAACTTAGCAGGGGGGGATATGCAAATCCCAGAATGTATGATTGAAGGATTTTGATGCTTGATCCTTATGAGTGGAGTCCCAAAGATAGTTGTAAGCCATGGAACTGTCAAAGAAACCCCCTCTCCCAAGAGAAGAGAAGATAAAATCCTCACCATGACAAGGAATGACAGTAGAGGAAAGATAGGTAGCAAAGTTGGGTGGGATCATAGGGAAAAGGGTAAAAAGATCATCTTTAAGTCTGCCATTTTGGAAAGAAGAGGAGACTGTTCTTTCAAACTCATTCCTAGGTAAGGGGCCAGAGAAAGAGGCTCTGATAGGTCCTAATCCAGTCCAATTATCCTCCCAAAAGATACAATTATCCCCTTTACCTACCCCCCACTGAGTAAAGTGAGTGAGAATATACCATCCTTTCCCAGCATCCTGCCAAATGTGAGAACCCTTATGGAAAGGGGTAGCCATAGATCTACTACAATATTTTTCCCTAACAATAGTGGCAGAGAGGTTGTTTGAATTTTGCGGCTTCCAACACAACTTAGCCATAGAGACCCTATTTTGAAGATAAGTGAGACTGAGATTTATACCCCCCCCTCTGTCTAGAACACCAAAGCTTATCCCAAGCAATTAGAGGAACTTTTTTGGTTTCAGGGGTAGTCCCCCAGAAGAAATGAGAGCAAACCTAGTCAATCTGACTTGTTAAGGTCTTAGGCAAGCAGATAGTCTGCATGGAGTAAGCAGGGATGGAGGAGAGGGTTTAATTAATTAGAATGGCTCTACCAGCCTTAGACAAGTGCTTAGCTTTCCAGCTACTAAGCTTAGTCCTAATTTTTTGAATGATGTGGTTTAACGGAGCCTTAGTGGGTCTTTTATCAGTGAGGGGGAAGCCTAGATATATACCCAGGTCCTGGCTGACAGGGACACCTAGACTAGAGCTGAAGAGATCAACAGAGAAAGGAGAGGCATTCTTTGAAAAATAAAGTTTGCTTTTGCTACTGTTCATGCATTGGCCTGACCTGGCCCAGAACAGATCAAGGGTGTCCTGAAGAGCATGAAAGGTACCAAAAGATGATTCTCCAAACAGAAGGAGATCATCAGCAAACAGGAGGTGGGAGATGGGGGTACTGTTATTTCTAAACCTAAAGGGGGTCCAATTTCCCTCAGAGCATGTAGATTCAATGAGGTAGGATAGGTAGTTCATACAAATGATGAAGATGTAGGGGGACAGGGGGTCCCCCTGCCTAATACCTCTAGAGGCAGGGAAAGGTGGGGAGGGAGAACCATTAACCATAACCTGAAAAGAAGGGTTAGAGATACAGTTCATGATCAGGGATATGGAATCAGAGTCAAACCCAGTCCTAAGAAGGAAGAATCTAACAAAAGGCCATTCAAGTCTGTCATAGGCTTTCTCTAAGTCAATTTTGAGACAAAACCAAGCTTTCCTTCATGTTTTCTTCCTCATAAAATGAAGGATCTCAGTGGCAACAATGTAGTTATTGTCACAACCCCTGCCAGGAAGGAAACTACTCTGGTTAGGGGAGATGATGTCATTAAGATAAGGTATGATCCTCTAAACAAGGATTTTAGAGACTATCTTATAGGAAGTGTTACACAAGCTGATGGGTCTAAACTGCTTAATGGATTCAGGATCTTTCACCTTGGGAATCAAGGAGATGATGGTTTTATTAGCCTCAGAAGGGATGGACTTTGAAGAGAAGCAATCCTGACAGAACTGAAGAAGATCAGACCAAAGGGTGTCCCAATGATTTTGAAAGAAGAAAGGGTGATAGCCATCAGGACCAGGGGCTTTGAACTTCCCCATAGAGAAAACAGCAGAATGGATCTCCCCTAGAGAAGGCTGGTGGGAGACAGAAATTGAAGGATTGGGAAAGATCTCTTCAGGGAGGGAGGTTTCCTGGGAAGAGAAAAGAGAGGAGAAATATGAAGAGATGTGGTTGGTGAGGAGGTGGTCAGGGATATCCTCACCAACAGGAGACTTAAGATTCTGAATCTTATTCCTTCTCCTTCTAATGAGCACAGATTTGTGGAAGAAAACAGTATTCCTATCCCCCTCAGCTAACCAAGTGATTCTGGATCTAATAGCCCAAAAAGCCTCCTCCTGTTTTAGAAAATGGCCAGATTTGAACATAGATCATGTTCAAGGTCATGAAGGTAGGAGTTATTTGGTTCTATCTCTATAGCCCTTTAAGTTCCCTCAAGTCTTCTTAGAAGTCTAGTAATAGTCTTTTTAGGGTTAGGAACATTATCATTGACCAAAGATTGGATTTTGGGGGTGATGCACATGAGTTTTGATGTGAGGTTACCCTATAGGGCATTCTAAGATGTATGAACAAAAGGGGCAAAGCCAGGTTGGTTGTACCAGAAAGATTCCATTTTAAAAGCCCTAGAACTAGGATGATGAGGGGCAGCAGGTTCAGTATATAGGAGAATGGGGCTGTGATCAGAGCTCTCTCTTGGAAGATGGGTGAGGGAAGTATCGGGATAGAGTTGGATCCAAGAAGTGCTTATCCAGGCCCTATCCAATCTCTGCAAAATGGGCCTTCTTTTTCTTTTGTTTGACCAAGTGAACTTATTGCCAGAAAAACCAGAATCAACCAAGCCAGAGTAACTCATGCAATCTAAGAATTTATTTACTCTATTTATTTTAATGGGTTTACCCCCTAACTTTTCAAACTGACTTGTAACTTCATTGAAGTCACCTATAACTAACCAGGGTAGGGCCATATTATCACTCAAACGCGTCAAATCAGACTAGGAATCACATCTAGATTTAAATTTTGTACTAGCATAAATAGCTGAAATAAAAAAAGAAGAATTTTGTACCTTCACCACGGCATGGACGCATGACATTCCCTGCTCACAGAGCTGAAGTCCATGTTAGCAGAGTTCCACAGCAGCAGAATGCCACCCGACACGCCCTCCGGCTCAGCAAGGTAATAGCTATTAAAGGGAAGGTCCTTGATTATATGTTGGGTATGGGCTCTACTAGTTTTAGTTTTCGAAATAAACATGAGATCTGGGTTGTGCTCTTGGATGAGATGATTTGCATGGGAAATGAAGGTATTGGCGGCTAGGTTTGAGACCAATTTGGCACTTAAAGAGTCGAGTGCTAGCTCTTGGTCAATTTGCAATATCCCTCGATTTTTTCTAATTTGGTTGTAGTACTTGTTATCAAAAACAAACGATGTGTTTTGGTCAAGAAAAGTACTAGGATTTAGATTTGGATTAGAACCACAAAGTACGTTAAAATTTTTAACCAATGCCTTGTCCATGGTATGGTCAGGTGAACCTGTTCCTTGAAAGTTGGATAACCGATCTTTAAAGAAATTGCAATGAGCTACTCCTATGGTATGACCAGCACCCAATAAAACCACCATGTCATTAATGGTTAGCCCAAGAGCACTAAAGGACTGTTGGGCTTGCGAAACGGTAAATCTTAAACCAGGAAGATTTACTTCACTAGCCCTTGAAATGAGCCCGTCACGTCTACCTGTTGGTACATTGTAGTTAGGACCTCCAGCTAAGTAAACTGCATCTCGAGTAGCTAGCGTTATGATATCGGCACAAGAAACCTTTTGAGGGCATGCTTTTTCTAGAGCGGCCTTGATTTTGTCAATGAGTTCATACCCTCTAACTGATCCATTTGCTCCAGCATCTTTCTCTGCTTGGTTATTGCTTGTTGAGTCAATCAATATTGATGCATCGCATCCCTACGTATACAATTATATAAATATAATAAGTTAATAATGAATCATTTATCTTTTAATTATTTGTATACACAAGTATTTAATATGATTGATAGACCAATATAAACATAAAGGATTATTGTGAAATCAAACATATTAGTGTAATAACACAAAGGTACACATATATATATGCACAAAATATACATGGTAAATATGAACGAATTATAAAAAGTTACATGTTTAGTAAAAAATTAAAAAAAGCATATTATATTTAGATAGTGTGCACATCATATCTTTCTCATATTATTATATTAACATGCATTTTGATCATTTAATTTTGTTTATATGTACAGAGATACTCCCTTTATTATATTTTTAAAACATTCATACTTTTTTTTGGTGTTTAGAGAGCCACAAGGGTGCATGATGAAAATCGATCATAAGATCTTCTGGAATCGGAAGGGACGTTCTAACCAATTGAGCTATCCCTCACTTTCTTTTAACTTTCATACAATATAAAAATGAAAATAAAAAGTAAAACACCCTTGCAAAAATAATCTTACCCTAACAAAACAATCATGAAAATGCATACGTAACAAGGCAGCGGGGATTGATCGATCAGTCTTGTATTGCTGCTGAACTACTTGTCGAACAACATTTTCAGCATTAGGACAAGATTTAATATAAAAACCAACTTGAAGAGCTGAACTCAAAGATATAGCAAAGCATAAGAACAAGAATATAATGCATGAAGTGATACTCAAATGCTTATGAAAGCTTGCCATTTTGATAGTGTTACTACAAGTACTAGTTAATTATTATATGATGCAATGCTTTTTTTGTTTTGAGTGTACAAAATTGAAAATGGAGAGGTGGTTATATATATATGTTTTGAGGCAGCTAGATAAGATGGGAGACTAAATGAAAGTCAATAGACAGGGTGGGTAGTACAATTGATTGATAGACATACACCAATATGTTATTTTAAAGGAAAAATTACTCCCACTAATCTGAACTTTGCCTCGTCCGCCGAAAATAATCCAACTTTCATTTATTATCTATTGCACCGAACTTTGGGGGGTATTAATTTTTGTTGCACCCAACAGGTCATCTAACCTGATGTAGCAAGTTACCTAGACACGTGTCAGCGTATGATCGGCTTAAATTTTTTTTAAAAAAAAAACAAAAAACAAAAAAATAAAAAAAAACCCAAACCACCCACGCCCAGCGGCTGCCACCACACCCCCACCCCCACTACGCCGGAAAATCACCCCCACCCACGAAAAAGCCCTCCCTGCTGCCGGAAACCGCCGCCCAGCCTTCCCCCTACCTCGAAACCTACCCTTTCCCTTCCCCCACCCCCGAAAACCATTCCCCCACCCCAGAAAACCCCTCCCTCACTCCCAAAAACCACCGCACAACCCTCCCCCTTCCCTCAAAACTCCCCCTTTCCCTTTCCCCACCCCCAAAAACCCCTCCCCCACCCCTATTTCCTCCCCTCTCCCCCGCCGTTTTCCGACCCGAATCCCCTTCCCCTTCCCCTTCGTTTTCGTCGTTTCCCCCTCCCCGTCGTTTTCGCCCCCTTCCCCTTCGTTTTCGGCAGGTGGGGAGTGGTGGTCGGGGGTGGGGGCGATTTTCCGGCTGCGTGGGGGTGTTTTCAGGTGGGGTCTGGTGGAAGGGTGGGGGAGGGCTGGTGGATGGGGTGGTTTGGGTGGGGGGCTGGTGGTTAAGGGGGAAGGGGTGGGTTTATGTTTTTTTTTTTTTTTTTAAATTTTGTTTTTTTTTAATTTTGTTTTATTTTTTTTTTTAAATTTTGTTTTTTAAATTTTTTTTTTATTTGACCATTCATGTAGTGACACGTGTCCAAAAAAAATGTAACACACAAATGTTGATCGGATTAACCGGTTGCAGGTAAGTTGGGTGCAACGAAAATTAATACCCCCCAAAGTTCAGTGCAATAGATAATAAACGAAAGTTGGGATTATTTTCAACGGACGAGGCAAAGTTCAGATTAATGGGAGCAATTTTTCCTATTTTAAATGTGTTTAGTAGTAAAGAATCTTTCCAATCTACATTATCTTAATCTAAAATTTGTAATCTTTTGTACTCCATTTGTATCTTAATAAGTGACTTACTTTCTAAAAATAAATAAATTTGAAGTGTATCACTTTCTTATATAAAAATATTTCTTTTTATTTTATTATTTCTCTGTTACCTCTAAGGGAAAGTCTACGTTAAATTTAAAGATCAGAGATTTGTTAAATGCGAGTCTGGGCCGCACCCCCAAATTAAGAGAGAGAGTTCACTTCACAAGTCCAATAAGGTTCCATCCCAAAACCATATGGCAATAGGAGGAGTAGCCCCTTAGCCTTATAAAGTGTTTAATTATCTCTTCTTCAACCAATGTGAGACACTTACATGTGGTGACACTTGAGAGGTTTATTCTTCAACACTCCCCTTCACATGTAAGGTCCCTTTAACTCAAGGATCACTTGATCCAATTCCATTTGGCCCAGACTACTTAATGCCATTAAAGGTCCCACACTTTGGACCTGGAAATATACTCAAACCATTAGAGGTTCCATAGCGTTGGCCTAGCTCTGATACCATGTTAAATGCGGGTCTGGGCCGCACCCGCAAACTAAGAGAGAGAGTTCACTTCACAAGTCCAAGGGAGGTTCCATCTCAAAATCATATGGCAATAGGAGGAGTAGCCCCTTAGCCTTATAAAATGTTTAATTATCTCTTCTTCAACCGATGTGGGACACTTACATGTAGTGATACTTGAGAGGTTTATTATTCAACAAGATTAGACATGTTATTTGTAACATTCAGTCTCTTAAAACAGAGAGACCTTTTATTTAATCAAAGGGTCTCTTATCTAAGATCTCTTTGAACATTTTTGTACTAGTAAACCTACCCATTAGGCAATTACATACTCTTTAGCATTTCTCAAATTTTCTCATTGCCTCCACATATACTTACATCATTGATTTTTTAGAATAAATTAACCTCTCCGTCAACTTATATTCTTCTATCAACATACTTCCTCCGTTTCTTTTTAGTTGACACGTTTCTTTAGTCACGTTTGCCAATGCACTTATTCAATCATTAATACATTTAATTATCGATGAGCAAAAATTTTAAAAAGTTGATATTTTGAAAGTATATAACGTTACAAATCTAACAAGATCTCACATAACTATATTTTTCATTACGTATAAAGCACAAAATACGGTCAAAGAGAAATGGATGAATAGTGCTAAGTCAAAACGTGTCAACTAAAAAGAAACGGAGGTAGTATATATTTAATTCTCAACTCATCACCCACTTACGTACACTTTATAAAATACCCCCTTTATTTCACTTGCATTAAACTCGGTGCATATGCCAATGATACAATTAAATAATTACGAAGTGAGCATATTCTATACCACTTTAATTTATTTGAACATTGATAGTTTTACAAAAAAAAAAAAGTGGGTCCACTAGAAAGTTAGCGGGGTATGGTATTTGTAAGTTTATTTTAACAAAAAAATTATCTCTATTTTTTATTAAATACATCACCTATATATAATGTTGGTCTTTTCATCTCCATTCCCATTAACATCCCTATGCAAAATACAGAGTAGAGGATTAGGCAAATAATATCTTAGCGTGCAAATGAGTCAAGCTGGAAATATAATATGTAGATAACTAATAAGCAATGCACGCAATTAAGGAAGTATTTTATTTACACATAAATTTTGCAAAAAAAAAACATAATGTTATATTTTTATTTAGAGTGTATCTATGGTAATGGAAGAGATATATAATACGTATGTACAATGTACCTAGTATGAATAATGTCTTAAAAAAATAGTAATTAAGATGTAGAAGTTATAGAAAAAGTTTTTTTTTGTTTTAATTATTTTTTTGGGTAATTTGGAGTGGTGGAAGTTATTTGAAGGTTACCCCCAAAAAAAGTGCAAAAACTAAAATTGAAGAATTAAGGTTTTGGAAATTAAAGTTGCCGTGAAAATTTCTTTATCATATAATTTCTTCGTTTTCATTTACTTGCAACACAGAATTATGGCACGTGCTTTGAGGTTGAGATTATATATTACTAGATGAAGCCCGTGCGATGCACGGTTTGTTTGAATTTTTAAAAATAATTTTTTTATACATATATTTAAGTGCTAAAATTTGTTATATATTTAGATAAAATTGCTAATATCAAAAGATAATATTTTATATTTAATTAATTTAAATTGGAAAATCTCATTCGCCAATTTTGCTTACGTGGCATTTGAATTATTTAATTATAAAAGAGTTAATAATCTCCTATTTAATTGGTTACTACTAAAATTTATAATCCTACATGGCACACTAAGAAAATTAGATCCTATGTGGCTCTCTAAAAACTCGGGAAAAAACTCCCCTTTATATATATATATATATATATATACTAGTTTTGTGCCCGTGCGATGCCCGAGTTGCTTATTGAATTTTAAGATAAATTATCAATCTATATGTCAAATTTTAAAATATATCATTGATACAAACTTAATTAGGAATTGATGTGTTTTGTGACGATTTGCTATTTAGTAGGCATGTAATGATTAATAATAATGTTAGTGGAAATGTTCGATTTAATTTAATACAATAAAAAAATAGCAAAAATAAATTAAATAAACTAAATGTTCAAAGCCCGTTGGGTTGACCCGAACCCAAAACTTAAGGCAAGGGTTGAACATTTCTTGACTCATAACCTAAAGTGACCCAATCCGAGATATCTCATGACCCGACCCTAATTGGCAGGTCTATAGAACTCTATAGACCTGCCAATTAGTATATTATTTAAACCGATTAGTATATATTATAAATGTATGTTTTACGCTTTAAACTATTTCGTTCGCTCAAAAAAAATATTATGATATAAAAAATAAATTTTATGATAATTTTTTATAATTATAATTTAAAATTTTTTTGAATAAAATTATAATTCAATTTGTACATCTGAAATATTGATATTTTATCGAAAATAAAACTCTATACTAACAATTTTATCCTAAAATTATATCCAAATAGAATCCTAAACTAACTTTTGTTTTTTTTAATATCTTTTAAAGTCTATTTAAATCTATCCAACGTGGCGCGACACTAGGCGAAAAGTTGTAACGCCAAGTGTCACTGCCTCGTTACCTGGCTAAAAGTTTAGCTTTATATATTAGTTATATGATTAGATTGTAATTGGATAAAGTATTCAAAATAAATTTTACACAAAGTACCTAACCCTACTCTAATCCTCGTGATAAAATTATTATGATAAAATTGCTGAGTTACCTTCACTAATCATCTCCTAAAACAACATATCAAAAAATTTGTGTTGCAAGTTAAATAAAAAAAATAATTAAAAAAAACAGAGAAGTAGATGGTTTGTACTTTTATAACAATATATATTACCTCCGATTTTTTTTATAGTTGCAACTTTGGAATATTTTATATCTAACAAATAATACACCAAAGTTGCAACTAAAAAAAATAAAATCGGAGGTAATATAACATAATACTTCCTCCGTTCTATTAATATTGCAACAACGGACTTTTTGCACTATTCATCACTCTTGTTTGACCTTATAATATAGATTTATACGTTAAGTAAAATATAGTCATGTGGGATCTTATTGGATTCGTCTCATAAAATACTTTCACAATATCAATTTTTTATAATTTTTACTCTTACATAATTATAGATATTTAGCATATAAAATGTGCTTTGGGATGCGTAATTTCCTCCTTGTTG